CATACCAATATTACTTCCCTCTTGAGGTTGTTATGAAGGTTAAATGAGTTAGTTGTGCAAAGTCTCCTGTATTACAGAGGAAAGTCTGAGAGACAAAGGCACAGAATGAATGTTTGTAGCTAAATGTGAAATAACATTATAGGCAAGTATCAGTTTGCTGAAGACATTTCTCATAGCTATGCCATGTCCAACTTACCAGCTTCTCTGTTTCTCATAACCTGGTTTAAAGACTAAAGCTGTGAACACAGAGAAGGGTATTCTAAGAAAATAGAATCTCAACTTTCAGAGAGTACTGTTTTTCTAGGTAATAAAGAGTCTCTACAGAGTTACATCATTCAGAACAATAATGGTGACACATAGTTCTCTGCAACATTGGAAGTACTGTAGATTCACTATCAAAGGTAAGCCTTCCAGGAAGTGGCAGTCTCTTCTCACCCACCTATGCTGCTCCCTAGTCATCTCAGGGTCAGTAGCTATGAAAATAAAATGCAGAGAGAAGGTAGAAGACTCAACTGCGTCTATGATGCACTAGACATTTTCTGTCCAAGGGATGGAGTCATAAAACATGGTTTTATCTGATGTTTTGTCATGAATTAGATTGAAGCCATAAATTACTGGAAAGGCTATCACAGAGCTGTATTTTAACAAAATTGAAAGTATTTTCTTCAAACAATTTTGAAATTGTATTTTTTCAACATATTATGTCACACATTTTACCCATATCAATAACATGTTTCATGGGCATTATTTTCTCATCTGAGGAGATGGAGACAATAAATAGACTCTATGGGCATTCGTAATAGACTAGTACGATAATGTGACAGTATGATTCCGATGATTTTAAAAGGCTATGCCAATGTCTCATGTCATCAAGAAATATTAATTGGGTAGGAAGAATCTGAGCTAGGCTTTGCAAGATAGGAAAATACTGCTAACTAGGGAGGTTGAAACTTTATACATCAGGCAAAGAGGCAGAGTAAGGAATATATTAGGAATAGGGAGCCACAGCATGGCGTAAAGAAGCTATAAAGCCATCACCCAGCAGATGTTAAAATCTTTTCAAAAATATCGTATTCTATTCTAAAATATAACTATGAAGTAGGTGTCATCATCTTATTTTCACTAATAAAATGAATTGAGGCATAAATAAATTGAATGATTTTTACTAGATCACTCAGTATAAACACTACATAAACACTACCTTGACCGCTACACGACCAGGTCTTCACTATGGACAGTGCTCAGAAATCTGTGGGTCTAACCACAGTTTTATAATATATTAAAAGTCAAATTCAAATTATTTGGATTTTTAATTTTCTTGTCTTTCCATTACATTTTTAGGATTCTCTAATATTAACTTGGAATAAATTGGTGATGTCATAAAAAATCATTCTATCAAAATAAAGTCCTGATGTATTTACTACCTCTGTGAGCTCTCAGAATCCACATGGAAAATGGCCACCATAATGCCTGCTAACAGAGTTGCTGAAAGGATTAATGATGAAATATGACCTAGCAGATGACAGGCACTTGAACAATGGTGGCTACTGTTAGCTTGTTTTCTTCATCATTTATTCATCATTACCACCTATTAAGGTGATTATTTACTGAAAAGATACCAGTGACATCCAGAGTCATAGCAGTACTGGTGAAAATATGTTTCAGTGGAAATTTCGGCTTATGGGGAAAAAATCATAATTCACGGTAAACAGAATTCCTCAAAGTAGTCAGCATTTCACAATCCCTTAGGTGCCCTAGTTTATGGACTAATCTGTAGGCAAGAAAAATATAAAGTGATGGGCTTTGTCCCATGCTATATGTTTTATAACAGCATATCAAGACTGGAAGGGCACTCAGAGGGAACATTTGGGCCAAAGGAGGCTACAGGTTTGCTCAAGGACATCTGATCATACCCCACCCCCACTCATCCTTCATATGCCCTGTTAGTTTGCTGGCTGTTTCTGTCATATCATGCATTTATGTGCCACCAAATTTCATCTTTGTCTTTTAAGGAAGGCTCCTACGATACCAGTACTTGTTCCTCTGCTCTTAGTGCTTCATCTGGGGGGAATACTTGGCCTCACCATCTGGTTCAATACCACCTAACATCGCACTCAATAACCAGACAAGTATTTGACTCCTGACAGTGTGTTCGAATTGTAATCCCTGTATCCCTCTCCTCTTTGACCATTATTCTCTTTATTCATTGTTCCTTCCATACAGACAGGGTAGCAAATATGAACTAGTCACAGTATTTGATGCATTTTACTTTGTTCTCTTTAGAAGTTCTCACAATGGTTATCCTGAGGAAAATCAATTAAACTATTGACTTAAATACCAATGAGGGATCAATTATAATTCCAATTAACTGTGCCATCTGGGTTGCTCATTACCACTCTTGGAAAAAACTTGTTATAGTGAGAAAGTGTGTCTCCTATCCTCATGTTTATTCATCGTTGGGTCTAGAGTTTACCTTTAGACACTGGCCCTGCATCCTCAAATCCCACAGCTAACGTCCTTTATGGTGATGCCTTGGGTCTGTCTGCCCCAAATCATTTTCCTGGCCACAGAGGGCCTGTTACTGGCATCCCTCTTCTCTTCCCACTGCAAGAGCTAACAATTACTAATTCATTACATGTCAGTCACTCTGCTAACTCGCTTTGCATGCATGATTTCTTTAAATCCCACGAGGTAGACAATACTGTTCTCTTTCAAAAAGAAAATACTTGAACCTTAGAAAGAGAAATGTGCTTCTTCCAAAGTCACAGTGTGTTCAAACACGTCTCTGAGACACAGGCACTGCCCCTCATCCCAGCTGCCCTGAGTCTCTCTCAGAGCCAGGTTCCTGATGTGTTCTGTGCTCGTAGGCTTTAATGAGATAAACAAGCTAGAGAAACCCCAGAAATGTTTCTCAAAATTGATATCCTTCAACATCAGCATCTTTGACAAAATACAGATTCCCAGGAACACACATCCCCCCATCTCATACTTACTGAATCAAAGCCACAAGAAGCGAGACCCAGGAACCAGTGCTTGAATACTATACAGGGAGATTTACATGCTTAATAGTTGAGTTCTTCGGCCCTGTGTCCTTTCTTTATTTTTCCTTTCTTTCCTTTATCTTCTTCTTTCTCTTTTTTTCTTTCGTTTCTTTCTCTTTCTTTTTTTTCTTTCAAGCAAATCTTATTAACCAGAGAATCTATGATTCTGAATTTATTTATACTATATTGATATGATTTGGCTGTGTCCCCACCTGAAGCTCATCTTGAATTGTAGCCCCCATAATTCCCACGTGTTGTGGGAGGGAGATAATCGAATCACGGGGAGGTTTCCCGCATACTGTTCTCGCGGTAGTGAATAAGTCACACCTGGTTTTATAAGGGGTTTCCGCTTCCGCTTCTTTCTCATTCTCTCGCGTCACCGCCACGAAAGAAGTGCCTTTTGCCTTCAGCCATGGTTGTGAGGCCTTCCAGACGCGCAGAACGGTGAGTCCATTAAATCTATTTCTCTGCTGGGCGCAGTGGCTCACGCCTGTAATCCCAGCATTTTGGGAGGCCGAGGCGGGCGGATCACCAGAGGTCGGGAGTTCAAGAGCACCCTGACCAGCGTGGAGAAACCCCATCTCTACTAAAAATACAAAATTAACCGGGTGTACTGGTGTGCCCCTGTAATCCCAGCTACTCGGGAAGGCTGAGGCAGGAGAATCGCTTGAACTCCAGAGACGGAGGTTGCGATAAGCCAAGACCGCACCATTGCCCTCCAGCCTGGACAGCAAGAGCGAAACTCAGCCTCAAAATAAAGAAAAAAACAAACCTATTTTTCTTCCCTGTCTTGGGTATGTCTTAATTAGTAGCCTGAAAACGGGCCAACACATACATAGTGCTTTGAGGTATATTTTGTTAGGTTTTTTTCTTGTACTTTAGGTTCTGGGGTACGTGTGTAGATCAGGCAAGATTGTTGCACAGGTACACACATGGCAATGTGGTTTGCGCCTCCATCCCCGCGTCTGGTGCCCTGTGTCTTTCTTACAGGACACCTAAGGTGTACTTTAAGTCTTCCCAGAGACAACGCCCTGACCCCTGGTGGTCTAGCCCTAAAGTGTAACTCTGATATTATCTAGATTTGAGAGAATATTTTGTGATAACCCAACGCTCACCTTTTGGCTGGCAATTTATTTGATTAAGTTTCAGCTGCCTCTGGCTGAGTTCTGAGCTCTATGTCACAGAAAGCACATGAAAGCAACTATTTTGCTGATCTTTTTTGTAGCACCCACTAAAAGAGATACCCTATTCAATAAAAATGTAGGTTGTCTATTCTTTGCAGATAATACAGAGTGAAAGGACGGGGTTACTGTCCTGAGAAAGGCTAGAGTGGATATAGATAAGAAAATCAATTCTCTCTCTCTTTCTCTCTCTCACTCTCATTCTCTCTCTCTCCCTCCCTCCCCTCATCTCCCTCTCTCTCTCCTTCACACACACACTCCTATGAGCCAACTCAACCTGTCTTCATCATTAAAATATCATGTTTGTGTTCTTGCACTTAGCCAATGTAAAATTGGCTTTTCACCAGCTCCCTCATCTTTTTCTCTTAAGAACCTTCAGCTTTCTAGACCAGTCTCTTGTCTTTTCCCTTCTCCTTGTGTTGATGTCACACTCTTGCATTTATTGAACCCTTCCATTATCAAAAATAGACGTCTCAATGTCATAAACTCAACATCTGCCTTGACACAAGACATCCCCATAGCAAATCCACTGATCACATAAGAAAAAATAGGAAAAACCCTAGCATCAACAAGTAGAAGTCCAAAATACTTAGACGACGAGTCAGTCAGCTTACTCATTAAGCACCTGAATACAGAATTTCCAGCAATAATTTCCTCAATATTATATTTATTTGAATATATAACACTTTATTAAAATGTGTTAATTTCATCCCCTCCCCAAGATCAAAGGAAATAATGAATAATGAGAATCAACCCACACATTTCAAACTCAGACTTACCATAGAACTCTGGTTGGCAAATCTCAGTTGGTGATTCCTCCTGGTTTCCAAACCAGAGCATAGGAGATTTCATCCACTGTGCTGTAAATGAATGTACGGCCTCCTGAAATGCAACAGGTTATTAACATAATGAAAAGGAAATGCAGCCTTCCCCTAATTCAGACTGCTCACCTCATCTTCCCTGAGGTGAGTTCCCATCCATTTATTTCAGGACATGGACAAACTGTCTACTATGAAATACAGAATTTGGAAAAAAAATTCAATGATGTCTATGTGATTTTCAAGCCTGTACAAATGGAAAATTCATCTTATACTGAATCAAGTGATGAAAGAACCCATTTCTTACCTGGAGTTACTCCCAAATAAATGTGGCTTTTATATGGACTCTAAGCTTTCAGGGTTTCAAATGCTACTTACTAGAACTATAAATTCAACTCCACCTACTTTTGTTTTCAGGTAAATAACGAGTGTGTTTTAGTTGGAAGGAGTTTTCCTTCTACACATTTTTTAAAACAAAACTTAAGCCTTAGTCTGGGTTAACTTCATGTAGTTCACCTAAAGCCAGGCTTACCTGAGTTTTTTCTTTGAAGCTGGGTAGCCATCATTTATGTGCTCTATCTTCTTAACAGAATGCCATGTCTGCTTTATTCCACATGACATTTAATTCCAGTCCCTAGAAACAATTTGCAGATAGAATGAATTTGCCACATGTACAGCAATTAACATGAAAAATTTTCCACACATACAAAAGCTCATGATGTGGTCTGGAAAACAAGTCGCTTCCAACTTGCGGGAAACTGGAGGTGTTCTTGCCTTTAAGGCACGATCTGCCACAGGTAGTCATTCTAGTTATTCTGAACCTGTAACCGCCTCTCCCTGTTTTACTTTGAGATATTTATCACGTGTGACCAGTTGAAAGTTAACCTGATGTAACCCAAAAATAAAACTCTTTTGCTTGAATTTATTCACAAAGGACATCCATTCTTAGAAGAAAATAAAGCTTTTGTTTTCCAAATCACAGTGAGTTGTTTAATTATGAAGTTCCTACCAGTAATGGCGATTTTAAAAAATAGTACCAAATGCATTGGAAATGATTGCAGCCTTGGCCAACCATATGTGAGACAGAACTCCTTTATTTGCCATTATCAAACATAAAGAAAATAATGGGGAAAGGAATCATAGCAGTTGAAAATTGTACTCATATAAAAGAAATCTGGCTTGTCTTATGGGTCCCTACTAACAAAACTATGTAATATTTTGCTGCCAGTTACCAGCCAAGGTTTTGTATTATGTGTATGGGCCACATAAAACGGAAAAACCAGCTCCTTCCACACATACCCCTGATTGCCTGTACGACAGTTCTATCTCCCCTTCTGGATCTAGCTTGATGTGTCCTCACGGATGAGTCTGTCTGTCCAATAGCTTCTTCCACGGCTAGCCAAGCATCTGCTTTCCTCTAAACACTAATCTTTGTAAGAATTATTAGTATCGACCCAAGTTTCATTTCTCCTCAGTGGCCTTAAAAAATCTTTCCGACGTTTGCTGTGTCCCTACCTCTCCTGTAGCGCTGGAGCTGGCTGGAGAGAGGCAGTAAAGGCCTTGAGGTGCCTTGTGGGAGATACTGGCCCTGCACGGAGCTGGGGGAGGGCACAGTGCTGGCAGCTGGAAAAAGAGGAGGAGGAGGAGGCATTTGTGTGCCACTGCAAACAATACACAGTGCCAACAAAAACACCATTCTTTTTCCCAGGAAGTTCAAAGCACTTTGCAAACATTAACTTATGAGCCCAAATAGTCACGGAGCAATTACTACTTTATTACGCCCCTAAAATAACTACTGCAAGCAAAGTGGCTAGAAGAAAAAAAAAGAGTGCATTTATTGTTTCCTTATTCCTCAGCTATTTATTGAATACCTACTATGTGCTGGGCACTGGAGATAGAGGACCTCCCATAGGCTCTCACACTATTCCATGCTTTTTTTGCCAACCCAGTTAGGGCACTAAGCACCTGGCTACACTAGTTATTATGTTTATTTACACTTTATTTTTGCCCAAATTGTTTAATGGAATGTGTTCCATTCTTCAGAATGCCTATAATGTGCTAAGTGCTGAGCGAACACACAAAAGAAAAAACTTTAAAGTTACCTATAAATCTCACTACGACTTTAGGAACTGGGGAATAGCAATTCAAAGTGCTTTCTTTTAAGATGCCATAAACAAGATTTAGTGTGAGCAATCTTTGTCTCTTTTGAAATTTGTGGAATTGCTATAGTGAATAAGGAGAGTTAAGATCAGTAATATCATGCCAAATGGTTTATATCAATAATCTGTCTTTTAAAATCATTAATTAGATGAGCAAGCATGTTTGGTGATGCAGAGAGCCTTTATCCATGAGTCTTTTTATGATCCCCCTTTTATGTGACAAAATGGTCAGATATAGAAAGTGGTTGACGCCGTTTCTAAATTCTTCTCCTTAGGCATCTGACTCCAGATATTTTAGAGTATATGGTTGTCTAAGACTAACTGGACGAAAGAGGCTGGTGGCTGCTTTTAAAAAATGCATGACTTTTTGATGAATCGAAAGGGACTCAAGCTGTTGTGTTTTAAAAATGCGAGCTAAGGGTTCTAGTCTGTTCAGGTGGGTTAAATTGTTACGCAGGTGACAGTCCAATTACCACAACAATGGAGGATTTAAGAGGAAGATTTTATTATTTGCAACAAGAGAGGAGGACACCTGGGATAGTTCCCCAAAGCAGTGCCTCCAGGAACAACAGTAAAAGCAGGACTTGTATTGGGCTGAAGCTGAGTCATTGTATGTGGAAGTGGTATAAAGCCAGTGCAGTCGCCTGCTGATCATGCTTCTACATACATCGTGTGTACAGAAAATGGCAAATAAGCTTCCCCCTGAGCAGGGTTTGTTACTATGGTTAATGAGGACAGTTGATCATAGTTCATCTCCAACTCAGGCATCTCTGAATCCAACCAGTGTTACTTTTTGCAGGGCTGAGCTTCTTCCTAGAGCTTTTTGAAATAAGAACTCAAGGTACAACAATTACAAGTGGGAATTTCCTCACAGTGTATACCCAGAAACCTGGAACCCTGGGTTACACAGGGAGTCACTAGCCTACCCCAGTTTGGACTGAACATAGACACGGTTGCAGTTCTCACTTAGAAATTTATGTATATTTTTAAAGTCGTAGAGAATTATAATGCCACTTAAAACCCAACATCTCCTCTGTAATAAATACTTCTCTGACTAAACAGAATATAATGGAGGTATAATTTTGATCCAACACTCAAATGTATTGGTTAACACACATATCCCATGAAATTCAAGCTCTACATCTTAGCAGTTAAGTAGCACCTTCGTTTGGCCCCAAAGTACCTTTCCAGCCTCAGCCTCATCTTCATCCTCTTTATCACTCTGGCCACAGCATAGGTTTTCATAATAGTATATGAGGCTTACCTGATACCCTCTGTCTTGAAGCCTGCCCCACCCAGCTCCAATAGAAAGACACACACACACACACACACACACACATACACTTTTCTACCTGAAAACCTTCATTCTTCAAGGGCACATGATATCTTCTTAACCTATTCCCAAAATATATCATGTATAGAGATCATATCTTATTCCTTCATATCTTCAGCAAGTAGTATAAATCTTTGTTGAATGTGAATTTTCTAGAACACATCAGTATAGCACTTACTGAGGCTGGCAAGGTGATCAATTACTTGGGTTTACTCTTTAGCTGGTTTCTGGGGATTTTTAAAAATATTTTTATTAAGCAGGGCTTCTAATGAAGAGAATAAAATCAATTACATAAATTATTAAGTTAAAAACAGATCTAGGCCAGGCGCGGTGGCTCACGCCTGTAATCCCAGCACTTTGGGAGGGAGGCAGGTGGATCACGAGGTCAAAAGATCAAGACCATCCTGGTCAACATGGCAAAACCCTGTCTCTACTAAAAATACAAAAAATTAGCTGGGCATGGTGGCGCGTGCCTGTAATCCCAGCTACTCAGGAGGCTGAGGCAGGAGAATTGCCTGAACCCAGGAGGCAGAGGTTGCGGTGAGCCAAGATCACGCCATTGCACTCCAGCCTGGGTAACAAGAGGGAAACTCTGTCTCAAAAAAAAAAAAAAACAAGATCTATTATTTTTGATTAAAAGGTACTACGTTAATAACACCATTATTTCCCAGCTTCTCACACCTTAGATGGCAAAAACCTTCAGAGCCTGGGTCGTGTTCTGTCTACTCCACATATAATAATAGCACAGGAGGGAAAACTGTACACCTGTGGAACTGCTACAAGAGGAATAGAAACAGCTAAACATCAACAGCAATGACAGTGCCCTCTGAAACTACTTATTTCTGATTTCAACTTAGGAAGAGAACAGAATAAAGGGATAGGGAACCATCCAGAAGAAAAGGGAAAAGGAGAGGAAAGCAAGGGATTGGCTGCTGGAAAAGATTATCCATAAAATTTCTGCCATTTTTCTCTTTATGAAAGTGAGAAATAGAGACATTTGTACAGATTGTACAGAACAGAATGGCCGGCAGTTGGAGATAAATACTACTTAGTAAAAAGTTGTCCCATCTTCAAAGGCTCTTGCAAAAATTAGGGCCTGCTGATCTCTTTCAGTATTTTAGGAAGAGTCCTGTCATTATCTAGATTTGAAACATTGATGTCTGTTTTTGAGTTTTACTCGAAATAAATCAGTAATTTAACCTGTGCATATGTTTAAAACCTCATGCTTTTAATGGGCACTGTAAAGTGCTCCTGCAAATATTCTTAGTTCACTTGATCCTCACAAGAGCCCGTTAAGGTGAGTATGGCATCTTTTTACAGTTAAGAAGACTGAGTCTCAGATTTAGTATCTTGCTGAATTAATATACAAACCCCAACAGTCTAACTGTGCTCTTGGGATTCTTTCATCAAATCACAACACTATGTGAATACTTTAAGAATTATTATAGATGTAGCTTTTATTCTTTACAGAACAAAATGCTGGCACTGTATGTTATGCACCCTTATTTACTGAACAACAGGTATATATATGATATAAAATGATTTTTTTCCTTGATACCTGGAAATTACCTGAGAATCCAGATGTCATTTAAGGAATGCATTCCCAAGTTAATTAAACCTCATCAACACGCAAGCAAATATTTATTTTCAGTTCTAAAAGACTTCAACCTTAATTAATTCTTTAGCCAGCAATGCAAATTCATGTTTCCTGCCAAATCCAGCAGAGGGCAGGATACTCCCATCAACAGCCAGCAGCTGGCTAGTGCCTCTAGCTAAGCCAGTGCAGTTACCTGGCGCAGTATTCCCGCACTGGAGCAATCATCATCATCTCACCTGGATACGAAATAGTGTAAGTTTGTGCTGCAGATAGGGGATGTGGGATGTGCCCTTGGAAATGTCCAGAAAAGTTTTGCCTTAGAGGCTGCTCACATTTTGTTTGATCTAAAGATACCTGGAAACTAGCCAGTACCAATTATCTTCCTGGAGTATCTTGCTGAGGACACTACACTAGGGAATTAATCTAATATATGCCATGACAGTTTCTGTTTCTCACTTTAGGCCATCTCAGGTCATAGCTGAGCTACTCTACTCTTGGGCTCCATGCCTCACTCCCACACCTTCTATTTCTCTGTGTCCCTAACAACTCTCAAGAGCTACTCATTGCATGGCCTCCTCTGTCTGTCATCTCTGCATAACCTCCACTAATCAGGAACAATGACCTCCTGCCCACTAATTCAAATTCTCCCCAAGCCTGACTTACAGGCCACCTCCTCCAGGAAGTTGCTGGAGATCCTGGCCCCAGTGGTCATCATTAAGAAACCTTTGCCAATGTCAAAGTCAAAATAATCTTTAAACTCAGTTTTTCATTTGGGAATCACAGAATTTCAATTCAGGTCATACACACACACTGGGGTGGTCTTTAGTATGTCTGAAGAACAAAGAGAAGGTTGGGAGTTTTATTTGAAAGAGAAATGTTACGTTATTTTGAAAGAAAACTCATTGGCACTATCAAAGTTTTGGGGGGCTGGCAAGCTCTAATTGATGAGTGATCATGGTAGGTAAAATCAATCTTAGAGTCTCAACAGGTTGTTTCAGCAACTGGGCTTGTGGGCAATTCTTGGGGTAGGTGTTATGTGTCCCTAGTCATTTTCCCCCTTGCCTCTTTACTCTTTTTAGTTGGATATGACAATAATAAATCAATGTGTGTAATTAACTTTCATAGTAAGTGAACTATTAGGTGAAGGTTTTGTACTAGAGCTTGGGTCTAAAAAGATATACCCCATTCCTTCCAGTCCAGATAGTAGCATGGTAAATGTAACAAGGAAGAGAGCAAGGATAAATGCCACAGTTCACAGAATAGTGCTTCTGAAGGTGACAGAGTAATTGTAGCAAACTTCTAGAATTTTCAAACTATGGTCTTAGAAGTTTGTCATTAGGACTTCAAAGTCTCCCAGGGCGAGGTGGCAATAGGGGAAAGGGATGGATAGTTGGACAGGTTTTGTACCCCCCCAAAACCCACTCCCCTGCCCTCACTTTCCCCCACCTCCAACCAGATGAAAGCAATGCCATTTTAACCTGTATTATTTGTGTATACCTCTGGATACTACATC